TCCAGTGATTTCACCCAGGTTCTATCCTTTGCTGTTCCTATACTCAGGCTGGTCATCCAATTAGGTCAAATCCCGAAGTGAAACTATGAGATCAAGTTGGTTATCCTTGACACACACACACACACACACACACAACCCATTAAGCCAGTGACTTAGCTCTACTTCCACTAACCCACTGGACCACTCTGACACTTTGTCTAGTTACTATCCTCTCTTTATCCTTCCCTCTTTCTCTCCCTCTCTCTCTTTCTATTCTGTTCTATTCAGCCCCCCTCTCCATCCCTCTATTATGCAGTCTATCTCTCTCTTCCCAGCAGTACAACAGTCTATACAGAGGCCCAGCACTGATCATTCTCCATTGTTTCCTGTGTTTCTGTCAGTAGTGCTCTGTCTAAGGCGCTTTGACATATTTAGCCAGCTTAGGACAGATGTACCCAGCTGTGGTCCATAGACACTCTACTGTCAGCTGTAAATAAGACTAGCTAGCTCCTCCAGTCCAGATATGACTAGCTAGCTCCTCCAGTCCAGATATGACTAGCTAACTCCTCCAGTCCAGATATGACTAGCTAGCTCCTCCAGTCCAGATATGACTAGCTAGCTCCTTCAGTCCAGATATGACTAGCTAGCTCCTCCAGTCCAGATATGACTAGCTAGCTCCTCCAGTCCAGATATGACTAGCTAGCTCCTCCAGTCCAGATATGACTAGCTAGCTCCTCCAGTCCAGATATGACTAGCTAGCTCCTCCAGTTCAGATATGACTAGGTAGCTCCTCCAGTCCAGATATGACTAGCTAGCTCCTCCAGTCCAGATATGACTAGCTAGCTCCTCCAGTCCAGATATGACTAGCTAGCTCCTCCAGTTCAGATATGACTAGCTAGCTCCTCCAGTCCAGATATGACTTGCTAGCTCCTCCAGTCTCTCTCCGTAGGGGTAGGTGCTAGCCTCCTCAGGTCAGGGCTTGGTTTATGTTTCATCATTACAACTGAAGGGGTATAATGTCTGTTTTTGTTTAATATACATATGCTCTGCCAGCTGCAGCACTTGTGTGGGTGTGTCATGAAAATAATGTCCTCCTCCTCTAGTCACGATAGTGGTTGGCTGCACTTCTCTTTCAAATCCTCTAAGAATCAGGGGCGTTGTGATATTAAAAGTTTGGAGAGAGTCGTGGGGAAGGTGAACAGGGGAGGGGGAGTGGTGGGTCGAGGTCACTAGTTTCATGGTTATCAGTGCGTACCCTCTCTCTAACTCTGCAAAGTCAGCTTAAGAAGCTGTATAAGCTAAGTAATAGTAAGGGGTATAGTGAGGATGGTGGTGTGTACTGACAAAGGACTGGGCACACAGAGCAGAGGTCTGGGTTTTAGAGGGTAATTGGTTTCTGTGACTGGGAGCAGCTTAGTTCACTGCAGCTTTCCTAAAGTGCCTTTAATCTGAATCCTGGTTTATCAGAGCCCAGAGACAGGAGGAAGAGAGGGATGAAGAGAGGAAGGAAATAGAGGTGGTGAGAGAAAGTAAAAGGACAAGGGGGAAGTATAGAAGAGAAAGGGGTGAAAGAGGGAGCGAGAGTAGAAAGGTAGTAGAATAGACTGGTAGTGTGTGTGTGTGTGTGTGGTGTGTGTGTGTGTGTGTATGTGTGTGTGTGTGTGTGTGTGTGTGTGTGTGTGTGTGTGTGCGTGCGTGCGTGCGTGCGTGTGTGTGTGCCTGTGAAATTGTGTGCCTCTGTGTGTAGACCAGTACAAGCCTGAGGCAGTTTACCCGCTGAAAACATTGAGACAGAAACCTGGTTTCAACAATATTCTAATCATTCCATTGTATCCCTCCTGTAGCTCAGTTGGTAGAGCATGGCGCTTGCAATGCCAGCGTTGTGGGTTCGTTTCCCACGGGGGGCCAGTATGAAAAATGTATGCACTCACTAACTGTAAGTCGCTTTGGATAAGAGCGTCTGCTAAATGACAAAAATGTAAATGTATCAAACATAAAGATAATTTTGATGTTGCCGGCCCAGGCAGATAATATATGGGCATTGGGCATGGCCCACTGTCTGTCTGGGAGGCAGGTGTGTAGATTATTATCCAATGCAAAAGCAGTTAGAGACACAGTAACATCCCTCATCAGCCTGATAAGGAGCGACAGCACACAGAGATTCACATAAACACTGTTCAAAGTAGAGACAACATGCTGGGGGCTAAACACCTCTCCTTTCCCCAGCCATGTCTTTTATGGATACAAATGTGCCTCTTTTATGGCATTTGTGTGTGTTCAGTGCTGTGTATGTGCTTATGGGTCTCTGAAGAGATTAAAAGGTGAACAGCTTCAGAGAAAAGCACACACACACACCGCAGCTCTCATTTCCACAGCAGCATGACAAAACGAACTGCAGTGATTCATGCTCCTCTTTAAAAAGCATAACAGGCAGAGAGGAGAGAAAATAGAGAGATGAAGGGAGAGAGGAAAGAAGAGAGAGAGAGGGGGGGGATGGGAAGAGGGCTGTGAAAAGGCTGCAGTAATTCAAAGTGTCCCACTGTCAGTGGTTTAAACCTCACTAGCAGTCTGCTGCACCAGTCTGCTGAATCACACATGAAGGGAGTGAGGGAAGGGTGTGAGAGAGAGGAGAGAGGGAGGGAGGAGTGTGAAAGGGAGGGAGGAGTGTGAGTGGGAGGAGTGTGAGAGGGAGGGAGGGAGGGAGGGAGGGAGGGAGCGGGGCGGGAGGGAGGGGCGAGGGAGGAGTGTGAGAGGGAGGGAGGGGTTGTTGGAGTGAGAGAGAGGAAAGAGGGAGAGAGAGAGGGAGGGAGGTGTGTGAGGAGGCGGGAGGGAGGAGGCGTGTGAGGGAGGGGGGGTGTGAGAGGTAGGAAGGAGGAATGTGGGAGGGAGGAGGAGTGTGAGAGAGGGAGGAGGGGTGTGTGAAGAGGGAGGGAGGGGTGTTGTGTGAGAGAGTGGGAGAGACAGAGGGAGGGAGGGAGGAGTGTGAGAGAGGGAGGGAAGGGTGTGAGAGGGAGGGAGGAATGTGGGAGGGAAGTATGAGTGTGAGAGGACAGGGGTGTGAGAGAGAGGGAGGGAGGAGTGACAGAGGCAGGGAGGGAGGGGGAGGAGTGGGAGAGAGGGAGGGAAGGAGGAGTGAGCGAGAGATGGAGGGAGGGAGGGGTGTGAGAGGGATGGAGGGAGGGTGGGAGGATGTGGAGAGGGTTTAAAGGGAGGGAGAAGCGGAAGACAGTCAAACAGACAATGTGACGGAGGGAGGGAGAGGAGGAAAGGAGAGAGAGGGATGAAGAGGAAGAGAAACAGAAAATGAGAATTGGAGTGGGTTAAAAGGAGAGGCAAAGAGGGTAGACAGATAGACAAGCAGACAGGGTTGGAGGAGAAGAGAAGAGAGGGAGTGTGTGAGTCAGAAAGAGGAGGAGAAAAGCCACTGTCTCTAATTTATCTGCAAAGGCACTGGCAGCCTTTCCACAGTTCTCTGTCCCTCCCCTGTGGGCTAATAGTGACCTGAATTACTGCACTGATCGCTGCTGTCTCTGTCTCACACACTCATTACATTACACACATCACCACATCATCGCAAACTTTCTTCTAAAGCGTATTGCGTCCGGGGGCAGACTTTGCGTATTAGATTGTCAATTCTAGCAGATGACTTTTTTATGCACTTGGAAGAATCATCGCCTTTGATCGCCTGTGCGTTGCAACTTTACTTATGATTCGTCTGACTCTCAGCCTTCATCACTGAACAATGCTATGAATATTTATCATTTTGTAAGTCTGTAACTATCTTCATAACTAAGCCTCGTTTGGTCCTGATATGTAGCTAGTGATTAATTATTCTGCAGTCATTGAGGCTTAGCCATGCTGCAGCAGCATTACACAAACAGACCCTAATAAGGATCAGAGACTGGGTAGTGATGGGGAGAACTCCTGGCTCTCTTCCACTGGCAGAGACAATATGCTAAGTCATGATATTCACTACAGACCATTGCAATGCAGGAGAGAAGACACTAAACAGTGTTTTTAGTTATTTTCAAAACGCCTCGAGGTTAAAGGCAGTGTATGTGTAGTCCATTATAAACACACAGGCACACACACACTTGTCTGGAGGTGAAACAGACAGCACGTTGTCCTATCCGCTCAATGTTAGACTGAAAAACAGCTGTATCTGTGTCTTACACACACACATGCACGGACGCACGTACGCACACACACACACACGATAACAGCGTTTAACATCACTGTCTATCTTCGACTTGTATAAACTGTTGAGACAGATTTTCATCACAAAACATGATATGCTAATGCATTTCTCTCTCTCCTTTTCCCTTCTCTCCCTCCCTCCCTCTCTTTGCAGGTTGTTTTCAGCTATGTAACGTGTTTCGTCAGAACATGGAGATAGATCAGTGTCTGCTGGAGTCTCTCCCGTTTGGCCAGCGCCAGCGGCTGGTCAGGAGAATGCGCTGCGACCAAATAAGGGCGTACTACGAGCGGGAGAAGACCCTGCAGAAACCGGGATGCGGAGTCAAGGTCAAAGCCCCGCCCACCAGCCACAGGAAGCGGCACCGCATTCGCTTCAGCCTCGGTGACGTCATACAGGACACCATCATAAGCCACGACGACAAAGAAGGTGTGTATGTGTATTTCTGTGTGTATGAGGGCGGGGGGTGGGGGGTGGGGTGGATGTTAGCTACACACACATATAATATAATATGTCATTTAGCAGACGCTTTTATCCAAAGCAACTTACAGTCATGCGTGCATACTTTTTTACGTATGGGTGGTCCCGGGGATCGAACCCACTACCCTGGCGTTACAAGCGCCATGCTCTACTAATTGAGCTACAGAGGACTCCAAAAGGGTTCTTCGGCTGTTCCAGGGAGAACCCTTTTTGGTTCTATGTAGAACCCTCTGTGGAAAGGGGCCTACATGGAACCCAAAAGGGTTCTACCTGGAACGAAAAAGGGTTATTCAAAGGGTTCACCTATAGGGATAGCCGAACAACCATTTTAGGTTCTAGATAGCATACTCACACTTGAGAGTTAAAGCTAGTTTTTATGTATTTCCAGGGATTATATCTATCAGTAAAACTGTCCTAGATTTGTGAAGCCGATGGCATCATATCTGAGTTCAGTAAGATTCCATTTGAACTATTGAGTTCTGACAGTTCTATTAGCTTTGAGTCAGTGCAAACAGAATAGGCAGTGGAGGGTTTGTGAGTAGTACTGAGTAGTACAGGCTACATGCGACCTACTGTCTCTGCACTTACATCATTCTCTGCAAGGCGAGGGACCCTTTCAAACATCACACGCACACCACACACACATACTCACCTTCATTGAGACACTTGGCCAGTCTGCATGGTTTGGGTTTGCTCTCTCCACACCCATCTCTACAGTACATACTACATACCTACAGCAATGAAACAGACCTCATAGCATCATTATCCCATCTCTCTCTCTCTCTCTCTCTCTCTCTCTCTACTTCTCTACTCTAGCTCTCTCTCTAGTCTACTCTCTCTATCTCTCTCTCTCTCTCTATCTCTCTCCCTCCCTCTCCCCTCTATTCTGTTCCTCCTTCAATATTCTCTGCATTTGCCTCTCCCAAGTTTCAGCGGCTAATCAGTATTCTGCTGAGAGTGAGTGAGTGAGCGTGAATGTGTGTGCGTGCGAGCGAGTGTGTGTGTGTGTGTGCAGCAGCTGGGAAATGGCAGGTGGATGTGTTAAGGGTGAGGAGTGGCCATTAGCTTACAGTATAAACTCATTCTTCACACTGTTACAGGCTAGTCTGGACACTAACTCTCACACACAGACAGACACACACACACTCATGCAAACACACCTAGCTAATACAAATGCAGCTCTTGGGAGAGAATCAGATGTAAGTAGTATGGGATCGGTAACGATGACGATGCAACAATTACAGAGTTCAGATTTCATTCATTCAGCCAAAGTCGCCTATTTCTGCCTGTGACTTTGCGGCGAGGATTAGCAGTACCGGTATTCTGACTGTAGTCTAACTCTCTAAGACAGTTGGGCAGATTTACTGTTTCCGTGGTGTGTGCGTGTGTCTGTGCGTGTGTCTCTGTGTGTGTCTGTGTGTGTGCGTGCACGTGTGCGTGTGTGCTTGCATGTCTGTGTGCATGTGTGTGTGTCTGGAACTCCCCATTCTAACCACTAAGAGTTTCCTTATTAGGGATTCTGCCGAGGCATCTGAGGGGAGAGAAGGAGCTCTTGTGAGTCTGACTCGAAATCAGGCAGGGATCTAAGGGAGGGTTGGAGACTACCATTAAAGCCACAGGCCCATACACACAGAACTGCAGTCAAATACACTTTATGTCTTCATGAAGTATCACTACTACTGGATACTCAATGAGGCTTAGGGGAGACTTGCTGCTTTTAGTATAGAAACATATTTATCTCACTATGGCCATGACTAGAAACACCTATTCGCAAAGCGGGAGAGTGAAAGAAGGCATGATATAGGAGTAGAGAAGCGAGAGACTATAGCATCTCTCTATCTATATATATCTATCTCTCTCTCTCTCTTCTCTCTCTCTCTCTCTATTCTCTCTCCTCCCTCCCTCCCCTATCTCTCTCTCCACCCATGCTCTTGTGTTGCCAGCCGTTTTCCCAGCTGTCTGTGTCAGACCTCCCAGCAGCCATTGCAGGTTACTATGCTAATCTCCCCTCTTTGGCTGCCAATGAGCTTCAGCTGGTGTGCCCATGCAACTGCTCGACAGAAACCTGGGGCCTTTGACTGGACATGAATTGCCGCTGTTTACCCCCGACTAGAAAGCCTATTCACCATTTCAACAGCATGGTAGAAGACTGGCACAAGACTAGCTTTTGTTATGGTGGGTATAGTCATCTGCCAACCAGTGGTCTGACTAACTAGACTTGCAACATTCAAGGCCAGGTTGGACAATGTTGTTAGAATTAGGAATTAGAATACTAGAATATTAAGAATAGTTATTTTAAAAGGATCTTTATGGTGTTGGACAAGATGTTGTACTGCAGACTTGATGTTCCATGGATAGACTACATTCCGTGTAGAAGGATACATGATGAGAAGTCTAATTGGACTCCATTGGACTGAATTGCATGTTTGTTGTTCCTGCTATTAGTGCATATTTGATGCTCCTATGATCATCTTTGCTATGATTATCTTTGGTCTGTTGACTACCTACTCCTTATTAAGGAAACAGTGTGTTCGGTTCTGTCTGTGTGTGTGTAGTGTTTCTTGGAGGCAATGTCAGTTTCTGTGTCTCTGTTTGTCTGTGCCAATTACTGTGTGGGGAACTTACAGTAGTTGCTTCGCAGAATGTTTCTGTCTCCATCCCCATATCCATTTATATGGAGGGAACATGTTCGCCTCAGGCCCACTTCTTCTTAGGAGGGATCTGGGAACATTTCTGGAATTTCATCCGTGGCAAAATCCTTAATCATTTTTGGAGAGGAGGAAATGTGTAAATACCCACCATGTGGAAAGGCCTAGGGGTCCATATGGGGGGGGGGGGGTAATTTAGGGGGCTTGCCTTTACCAAGCTTCCCAAACCCTGTAAAACCGGAATACCGGACTCAGCACGAAACATGAGGAGGTGGGAGGATGTGTGGAAAGAAAATCAATGCTTGGTATTCCACAGGGATCTCAGCTCAGCCCGTTGTTCTTAGTGATGAAATCAGCTCCTCTGTTCTGGAGATGATGGGAGAAATAAAACTCTCATAGTTGAATGTAGCTGATTGGGTTGTCGCGTTGCTTTATCTTGCAAAGGCCTTATCTGGTGGTGAATCTCTCATTGAAGTGGAAAGCCATGAAATGAGAGTGATAGACTGTGTCCAAACGGTTTATCTAGCCACAGCGAGCCATGGGGATATTATGCTATGCAGTATCCGTGGAATGAATGTCTTCTGCATTAGATGTGTTAGGTGCTCGTCATAAACATCCCACCTCCCTCTGTAATTACTTTTATTTTTACATTTTCAGCATAATTCATTCTTGATTGATACAGTATTGGCCGCTGAACCAATAGAGTTGAGAAAACAACACCTTGTAACATGACTCGTTAACATTTAAAGGATGCAGTGTATGTGTTTGGCATCTCTCTCTTTCTCTCTCTCTCCGTCTGTTTGTCTATCGTAATTAAACTTGGTCAGTATGGAGCTCGCTTTGGGCACAGATTCACAGATAGACTAGAAACACACTCTGCTGACGAGGCAGGCTGGTAATAAGAGATGTACACACACACTCACATACACACCCACACACACCCACACACACTCACACACACCCACACACACTCACACACACCCACACACACACACCCACACACACACACACACCCACACACACCCACACACACACCCACACACACCCACACACCCCTTATCAGCAATCACTGATGGAAGCAGATAGGAAAATAAAGAGCGACAGAGAGGGGAGGAGATGTGGAGCGGAGAAAAGAGATTGAATGGGGAAAATTTGAAAAGGGAGGAGAGAGGGCTATGAGATCCAAAAAGTATAATGTGAGAAACAAAGAAAAGGAAAAATGAGGGTGGGATGAATGAGAAAAAAAGAGACAAAGAGAGAGACTCAAGCCCTATGTATCAGCTTGATTCCTCCTTGCCATATGTAAACTGGGACTTCCATGCCTAGTGACATTTGGTGAAATTGCCTTTCTAAAGTAATCTCTTAACTTCATCAGCGGAAGGCAAGGCTGTGACCGGAGCATCTGTTTCCCTTGACAGGCGTGGAACCCCAAATCAATTCCCATCATGTTGTTCCTGTACCGTTCCAGAATGATATGGAATATTCCAAGCTGGGGTATGGTTGGTATATACCTGTGTTATTGAGGTGATATTGGATGTTACATTCCCAGCCAACATCATAAGTCTGATGAGATTGAGTCTATATGAATGATTTTTATTCTCTTATATGAGGTTAGAATGGGGTCTGGTAGAGCGATACACTACATGATCAAAAGTATGTGGACACCTCCTCGTCGAAGATGTCGTTCCAAAATCATGGGCATTAATATGGAATTGGTCCCCTCTTTGCTGCTATAACAGCCTCCACTCTTCTGGGAAGGCTTTCCACTAAATGTTGGAACATTGCTGCAAGGACTTGCTTTTATTCAGCCACAAGAGCATTAGTGAGGTTGGGCACTGATGTTGGGCGATTAGGCCTGGCTCGCAGTCGGCGTTCCAATGCATCCAAAAGGTGTTCGATGGGGTTGAGGTCAGGGCTCTTGTGCAGGCCAGTCAAGATCTTCCAAACCGATCTCGACAAACCATTTCTGTATGGACCTCGCTTTGTGCACCGGGGCATTGTCATGCCAAACTGTTGCCCCAAAGTTGGAAGCACAGAATCGTCTAGAATGTCATTGTATGCTGTAGCGTTAAGATTTCCCTTCAGTGGAACCATGAAAAACAGCTCTAGACCATTATTCCTCCTCCACCAAACTTTACAGTTGGCACTATGCATTGGGGCAGGTAGCGTTCTCCTGGCATCCGCCAAACCCAGATTCGTCCGTCGGACTGCCAGACTGTAAAGCACTTGGAGGTCCCGTTCTGTGAGCTTGTGTGGCCTACCACTTCGCGGATGAGCCGTTGTTGCTCCTAGACGTTTCCACTTCACAATAACAGCACTTACAGTTGATCGGGGCAGCTCTAGCAGGGCAGGAATTTGATGAACTGACTTGTTGGAAAGGTGGCATCCTATGATGGTGCCACTTGAAAGTCCCTGAGCTCTTCGGTAAGGCCATTCTCCTGTCAATGTTTGTCTATGGAGATTGCATGCCTGTGTGCTTGATTTTTAAACCTGTCAGCAACGGGTGTGGTTGAAATAGCCGAATACACTAATTTGAATGGGTGTCCACATATTTTTGTATATATAGTGTATAGATATTACCTGGGTATGATAGAGTGGCTCTCTCCCCAGCTGCAGTTCACAGCTGTTTGATAACCTTATAATCATAATCTAGGCATCGCATCTCAATGCCTTTAAAACACCTGTTTAATATTAGCTCATCTACCCTTTGTTACTCAATATGACCTAACCCAAAGAGGGTGTTTTAACATCAGATTTATAATTCATGATGACATGATTATGTGATAGTGTTGTGATTGATTTATTAGTTAGATTTCATACTACATCATATCAGAGTATGATAATGCTTGAGATTATCTTTCACTGTTGGTACTAATGTACTGTACAGTAGAATCAGCATCAGTGTGTGGGTGGGTGTCATGCCGTGCAAGCATTACACAGTCAACTGAGACGTCCTGTCACTTAATTAAGACAAATGTGATTACATGTGGGAAGGAGTGACATATCTTTCACAATCTGGAGAAGGGAAATCACCCTCTCTCCTCTAATCTCCGTACTCTCCTCCTCTCTCCCTCTTCTCCTTCTCCTCTCTCTCTACTCTCCTCCTTCTCTCTCCCTCCTCTCCTCCTCCTCTCTCCCTCCTCTCCTCCTCCTCTCTCTCTTCTCTCATCCTCTCTCCCTCCTCTCCTCCTCCTCTCTCCCTCCTCCTCCTCCTCCTCTCTCCCTCTCCTCCTCCTTCTCTCTCCCTCCTCTCCTCCTCCTCTTGACTCTGTCCTCTATTGATCAACAGGTATAGATCTAGACAGACAGACAGACAGTGCGTAGCCTAGCACCAGTAACACTGTGTCTGTCTGTAATCAGCTCCCTGAGATTGAAGGACGTAGAAGCACTAATAGCCTCCGCTGTCATGGATTCATGTCTTCATCACCTCAGAGTTTAGCACCACACACACCTTTGTCAAGACAAATAGCCTACATTCACAGTTGCGCTAATTGCATGTCTGAAGACACAGCTTGAACACAGGTTGGCATTTATTAGGATGACTCATGTACCAGAGGCAGCTTTGCAGAGTGGTCACTAGCTGGCACAGCCACATTGTCATAAAATCTGATTTTAAACCTAACCCTAACCTTAACCACACTGCTAACCCTAATGCCTAACCCTCACCTTAAATTAAGCAAATGTTTGTTTTCATGAATTTTTAAGATATAGCTAATTTTGATTTTGCAGCTGGCCCATCTAGCAGAAATCACCTAGGTCTGCCTCTAGGACAAGATGAATTACAACAAACCTAAACCTGCAGCTTGAAAACATGGGGTACATACAGCTAGCTTTAGTATTGTCCATCTTGAAGATAGTCCTCACCCCCCAGACAGCTCTGGTACAGTTATCTGTCTGTCAGAGCTAGAAGCTGGCTGGTTGTCACTGCCACACATTGATCCCTTTCCCAGGGGCCTTTGCAGTGGAAGGTACAAAACCTCTCTGTTGATGTAATGAGAGAGAAATAGAGAAACCAGCAATCTGTTTCTCAAACGAAAGGCAATGACTGACTCTCTGTGAACATTGATCTGTTTCCCAAATAAGGAAACAGATCAATGTTTTTAATTGTATCTAACCGATGTGTGAATTTAGCCGGATACATTACTTGAAGAACAGGAGGAGTGTAGGAATAAGGAAAATAAATACTTGAATTCATTTGTTGCTAGATTTGCTCAGTGCAAATGTAATTTAGATTCAATTTCTTAAAGATGAGCTATGCTGTATTCGCTCCACCATTTCCTGGTTGCTAAAATTCTTATAATTTGTCTAATTTCAGTTTATGTGACAAAACAAGCAAGTATAGTATAGAGTATCATTGTACTATCTAAACTGCTGTGCAATATCTTTTCCATAACCAAAAAGGATGTATTATCAGCTGTTTGAAGCTGGTGTACAAAAGTAAAAGAAGCAAAAACTAAACCTAAGAATGGGAAGCATATAAATAGCGCACCTAGAACAGATCTACCACTTCTTAGACTTTCACTGAGAATGACAGATCTATAACTCATATTTATATTGGATTTGGTTTCAGGTGGTCCCAAAGTTATATATTGCAGCTTTAATTCTGCTGCAGAAATACCTTTCAGCCTTTTCTAATTAAGATGACAAACTCCAACAGACTACCAACTGAATGTCCTTCAATGCTCTTAGTGGGAGATTGTTCAGGACATAAGACAATAAACTTGGTTAACAGGTTCTATGATTCTGTCAACAATGCATTCAAACTACCTTCTATCACACATTTACAGCATTTAAGACTTGCTTTAATCTTTCTTTAAAATGTATAACAGCCTATATACAGTGGGGAAAAAAGTATTTAGTCAGCCACCAATTGTGCAAGTTCTCCCACTTAAAAAGATGAGAGAGGCCTGTAATTTTCATCATAGGTACATGTCAACTATGACAGACAAAATGAGAAAAAAAATCCAGAAAATCACATTGTAGGATTTTTAATGAATTTATTTGCAAATTATGGTGGAAAATAAGTATTTGGTCAATAACAAAAGTTTCTCAATACTTTGTTATATACCCTTTGTTGGCAATGACACAGGTCAAACGTTTTCTGTAAGTCTTCACAAGGTTTTCACACACTGTTGCTGGTATTTTGGCCCATTCCTCCATGCAGATCTCCTCTAGAGCAGTGATGTTTTGGGGCTGTCGCTGGGCAACACGGACTTTCAACTCCCTCCAAAGATTTTCTATGGGGTTGAGATCTAGAGACTGGCTAGGCCACTCCAGGACCTTGAAATGCTTCTTACGAAGCCACTCCTTCGTTGCCCGGGCGGTGTGTTTGGGATCATTGTCATGCTGAAAGACCCAGCCACGTTTCATCTTCAATGCCCTTGCTGATGGAAGGAGGTTTTCACTCAAAATCTCACGATACATGGCCCCATTCATTCTTTCCTTTACATGGATCAGTCGTCCTGGTCCCTTTGCAGAAAAACAGCCCCAAAGCATGATGTTTCCACCCCCATGCTTCACAGTAGGTATGGTGTTCTTTGGATGCAACTCAGCATTCTTTGTCCTCCAAACACGACGAGTTGAGTTTTTACCAAAAAGTTCTATTTTGGTTTCATCTGACCATATGACATTCTCCCAATCCTCTTCTGGATCATCCAAATGCACTCTAGCAAACTTCAGACGGGCCTGGACATGTACTGTCTTAAGCAGGGAGACACGTCTGGCACTGCAGGATTTGAGTCCCTGGCGGCGTAGTGTGTTACTGATGGTAGGCTTTGTTACTTTGGTCCCAGCTCTCTGCAGGTCATTCACTAGGTCCCCCCGTGTGGTTCTGGGATTTTTGCTCACCGTTCTTGTGATCATTTTGACCCCACGGGGTGAGATCTTGCGTGGAGCCCCAGATCGAGGGAGATTATCAGTGGTCTTGTATGTCTTCCATTTCCTAATAATTGCTCCCACAGTTGATTTCTTCAAACCAAGCTGCTTACCTATTGCAGATTCAGTCTTCCCAGCCTGGTGCAGGTCTACAATTTTGTTTTTGGTGTCCTTTGACAGCTCTTTGGTCTTGGCCATAGTGGAGTTTGGAGTGTGACTGTTTGAGGTTGTGGACAGGTGTCTTTTATACTGATAACAAGTTCAAACAGGTGCCATTAATACAGGTAACGAGTGGAGGACAGAGGAGCCTCTTAAAGAAGAAGTTACAGGTCTGTGAGAGCCAGAAATCTTGCTTGTTTGTAGGTGACCAAATACTTATTTCCCACCATAATTTGCAAATAAATTCATTAAAAATCCTACAATGTGATTTTTTTTTGGGATTTGTTTTCCTCAATTTGTCTGTCATAGTTGACGTGTACCTCTGATGAAAATTACAGGCCTCTCTCATCTTTTTAAGTGGGAGAACTTGCCCAATTGGTGGCTGACTAAATACTTTTTTCCCCCACTGTAAATGCATAGCTTAATGCCTCTTACAGTATTCATGAAGCATTACTCACAGAGGTTCACAGAAAGTATTCCCCAAATAATGCTGTGGAATTTCAAATCCCAACGCTTCACTAGAGGACTTTTTCCGCATCACAGATCTCGTCATGGAAATCTGTGATCTTAGAATGTTGTCTTGTCTGAGAACAGTGTATATTGTTCTTCCTTAAGGAGGGAAACAGAGAGAAGACTCCAAAGCTAACTTAGAAAACATGGAGCAGACAGTCGAAACGAGGGATTCAGGTGACTATGAATGTGTGATAAGAAGCACTGAGACAGAATCATTTAGAGGGATGAGAACTTACAATCAGTTTCATATTGGAGGGTTGGATGGGGTATGGGGGGGGGGGGGGGGGGGGGGGGGGGGGGATACATAGGGAATAATATGGATGGTAAAAAGCAGGGCTGTGACGATACCAGTATCGTGATATTTTTTATGGCAAAAATAAAAACACGAAGCAGACTAAACTCTTTGGTCCTTTAAAAACCAACTGTATGTAAAATATTGTGTGCTATAGCATTAGGGCTGTTTTCCTAAGGAATTTAAATATGCTTCGTGTTTTAGTTCCTTGCCACGATACTAACGAGTATCGCAATACTGGTATTGTCCCGGCCCTAGTAGAAAAATAAGTAAGGTGAAAAAATAAGTGATAGGAGAAAGGAAACGTGTGTCAAGTTATTGAAAATGCTATGAAAATATGCTCAGAATGATTTGATGGAGCAAGAGGATGACATCTGGAGAATGGAAATCACCCTCTCTCCTCCTCCTCTCTTTTCTTCCTCTCTCCTCCTCCTTTCTCCTCCTCCTCTCTCCTCTTCCTCATCCTTTCTCTCTCCTCTATAGAATAGAGAGCTGGATTGAGTGGGAACTGAACAATTGTATTTGGATCCCATCCTCTTATGGATCAGCCTAGATACACGCACGATGTTTTAGTCCCTCTTCCCCTGTCCCTAGAGGCAAAGCTACAGTATAGCTATATACTTATCATTAAGTCAGCTGACATAGCTCTCAGGGCTGTAGTGGAGCATCACTTCTATTGTATATCATTAACTCAGCTGACATAGCTCTCAAGGCTGTAGTTGAACATACTGTAATTATACACCAGTGGCTCGCTAATGTTGTGCTAATGTTTTGGAGACTGGAGGGCCTCTGCCAGGTCTGACACATTTTGAAATTGACATTTTAGTCATTTAGCAGACACTCTTATCCAGAGCAACTTACAGGAGCAATTAGGGTTAAGTTCCTTGCTCAAGGGCACACCTAGTCGGCTCTGGGATTCGAACCAGCGACCTTTCGGTTGCAGCCCAACATTCTTAACTGCTAGGCTACCTGCCGCCCTATGGTACAAGGACATATTTCCCTGACTGGAATGAGTAGAGACACGTTCCCCTGACTGGAATTAGTGGATACATTTTCCCCTGACTGGAATGAGTGGAGACATGTTCCCCTGACTGGAATGAGTGGAGACATGTTTCCCTGACTGGAATGAGTGGAGACATGTTCCCCTGACTGGAATAAGTGGAGACATGTTTCCCTGACTGGAATGAGTGGAGACATGTTTCCCTGACTGGAATGAGTCTGACTTAGTGTCTACATCCACAGAAATGTTTCTCTATGTCTGATCTGACTCTGCATCTATAACTGATAAGGAGACTGTCGAGTCATCAGGAAAATATTCAAGTCTGGCATTTGGATTCATACTGCATTCCATTCAGTGTTTGTATTCTGGTTGCATCTGGTTAGAGTTTGGCTGCAGAGAAGGGACTGTATGATAGCCAGTATGTGGTAATCCTTTGGAGGGCTGAAGAGTGGAATATGCTGATGGGGAGGATAGAGTCATCTTTTACTGTAAAGACGAGTGGATGAAAGACTAAGTCTGTAGCGGAGGTCTGGAATTGACTGAGAACATCTAGTGATGTGGTCAACCCTACTGGACTCTGTGTGTAGTTCTCTCTCTCTCTCTCTCTCTGCTGTGCTTGTTGATCTCAGCTCTCTCTCTCTCTCTCTCATTCTGCTTCTCTGATGTGCTTGTTGTGCTCCTCTCTGATCCCTGTCTTCTCCCCTTCCCTCCCCGCCTCTCGCTCCCCTCCCCTCTCTCTCTCCCTCTCTCTCTTTCCCTCGCTGGCGTTTGTTCGCTCTCCTCTCTCTCCTCTCTCTCTCTCCTCCTCTCCTCTCCTTCCCCTCTCTCTACTCTCCCCGCTCGTCTCCTCTCCTCTCTCCTCGCCCCTCCTCTCCTCTCCCTCTTCCGTCTCTTTCCCCTCGTTCTCTCTCCTATGTACACCTTTCTCTCTTTTCTCCCCATCCCTTCGTTCTCTCGCTTCCCCACTCTCCCGTGATTCAGCCAACGCTTTCACACCCTCCCCACTCCACAAGAGCCCAATTTTTCGTTTTCCATGGAAACTCACTATTACACAAGCGTTTCATTTTCCCAAAGAAGCCGTTTTTTTTCTTTTGACTTTGTTTTAGAGAAACAGCCTATGAAAACAGAAAGGACCCCACCAACGCGGGAAAAGTTTTTTTTTTTTTTTTTTTTTTTTTTTTTTTTTTTTTTAAAAAAAAAAAAAAAAAAAAAAAAAAAAAAAAAAAAAAAAAATAAGATCGGTTCACCCCACGTGACTACACAGCCAATTAGCATGTCACCCATGTGACTACACAGCCAATTAGCATGTCACCCACGTGACTACACAGCCAATTAGCATGTCACCCATGTGACTACACAGCAAATTAGCATGTCACCCATGTGACTACACAGCGACTTAGCATGTCACCAACGTGACTACACAGCCACTTTGAGAGCTGGTGTCAGCCAGACTAACACTGAATAGTACCTGTCAATCAATCCAATAGTAGAGACGCATGGGGCGGCGCACATTGGCCCAGCGTCGTCAGGTAAGGGAGGGAATGGTGGCAGGATGTACTCAGTTGTAGAGTGGCGTTTGCAAGCCAGGGTTGTGGGTTCGACCATGGGGCCATAAAAAAAAAATGATGTATGCACCACTAACTGAAGTCGCTCTGGATAAGAGCGTCTGCTAAATGACTAAAATGTAAATGTAAAATGTAGAGCAGGACAGTGGCTAAGGTTGGCATATGAACCACTAGTAGAGCAGGACAGAGGACTGTGTTGATATTTGGACCAATAGGAAAACGGAGCATTGGGTGGTGTTGAAATATGGACCAATATAGAACATTGGAAAGTGTTGACATGATCTAATAGAATAGAAACAGAACATCCACCATATGGTCCAGCATACAGCAATTATCTGTCTGATTGCCCTGAGGGTCAATACATACTATAGCTCTTGACTTCTGACCTCTGTTGAGTCACGCTCAACTAAAGTGGGTGTCGGGTGAGGCAACCAGCACATATCACATTGCAAATAAAACCTTAGGTTGGGATTAGAAACTAATACTACACTAATGATTCATTGAAATCAACAACAGTACTGCAACCATTTCATATGAACTGCTTTATCTCTGTTAAATGTAGCTTAATTACTAACATAACTGGGATTATATTCCTGAGCCTCAGGCAGGAGCGAGAGAAGGCGTGTGTGTGAATGTGTGTGTGTAAGAGAGAGAGAGAGAGAGAGAGAGAGAGAGAGAGAGGAGAGAGAGAGAGAGAGAGAGAGAGAGAGAGAGAGAGAGATAATTGTGTTGATTGACTTAATGAAAGCTGTGTTCTTCCTCAGCAACCATTTAGATTGACTTAATGAAAGCTGTGTTCTTCCTCAGCAACCATTTAAGCGCCATTAAGCACCAACGAGTGTGGATGTAAATGTGTGTGTGTGTGCTTGTGTTTCGGTGACTGTGTACTCATACCTGCGTGTCTGTGTACTGTACGGGCCTGTGTGTGTGTGTGTTTATAATTATAATTCATCTATAAACAATTAAGGATCTTGCATTATCAGGAAAAAACTGAGATTGGTTGGTTGATCTGTGAGGTCCTTACAGTATGACCTATAAAGAAATGAATGGAGCAGCCTGTAAAGGTATTTTGATGATCTAACTGACTAACAAGTGATCCCACTGGTTCTACTGAAACATGCACTGCATGGGCAAACTCTACTGCAGTACTACTGTTAAATTACTGTTACACTGGTGCTAAGTCCTAGCTCAGCTCAACATGTATCCGCCCTACCAGCTGCCGTGTGTGTGTGTGTGCGCACACTTGTGCGAGTGTGATCCTTAAAAACACATCAGTTTAGATAACGACCACTTAGGCTAAGCGACCCCATGGGGTTCATCACTAGGGTTCATAGGATGGAAATTACAGTGGTTATTACCCTCACTGCTAACAGCTCTGGTTAAATTATTGTTTGAGAGTCAGTGAGTTAGTGTGTGCACAGGTGCTTTATAGGTTGGTGTGTGTGTGCGTGTGTGTCTGTGTCTTGCGTGACAGTGTAGTTTGGTGTTTTGCTGAGGTAAGGTCTCCCAGTGTTTATTCAGCATCCATCTTGGCTTGTCACTGTTGTTGAGGGAAAATGTCTATAGCCCTCTATCTCTCTGTCTCTCTGTATCTCTCTCGCTCTCCATCTCTCTCTCTGTCTTATCTATCCGTCTCGACTTCCATCTCTCCCCGTCTATCAGTGTTCTCTTCGCTGTTTATCTCTCTCATTCTCTCCGTTTCTCTCTAAGTCTGTATCTTCTCTCGTCTCTCTCTCTCTACTTCATCGTCTACTCTCTCTACTTCTATCATCTCTATTCCGTCTCTCTCTATGTACTATCATCTGTCTCTCTCATCTCTCACTCCGTTTCTCTCTACTCAGTCTTGTCTATCTCTCCGTCTCTCTCTCTCAATTTCTCGCTTTATCTCTCTCTCTCTCTCTCTCTCTCTCTTATCTCTCTATCTCTCTCTCTCTCTCTCTCCTCTCAGTCTCTTCTCTCTCGTCTCTCTCTCTCAGTATCTCTCTCATCTATCTCCGTCTCTCTCTCTCTCCGTCTCTCTCTTCTCTTGTCTCTCTCTCTCTTCTATCTCTCTATCTCGTCTCTCTACTCTCTCTCATTCTCTCTCTCCGTCTCTCTCTCGTCTCTCTCTCTCCTCTCTCGCGTCTCTTCCTCTCCTCTCTCGTCTCTCTCTTCTCTCTCTCTCTCCGTCTCTCTCTCCGTCTCTCTCTCCGTCTCTCTCTCTCTCCGTCTCTCTCTCTCCGTCTCTCTCTCTGTCTCTCTCTCTCCATCTCTCCGTCCATCTCTCTCTGTCCATCTCTCTCAATTCCTCATGCTCTCTGTCTTTTCATCTCCTCCGTTTCTCCCTCTCAATAGAAGCATTATTGCCTTGGTTTGGGAGTGGTTTGGGAGTGGTTTGGGAGTGGTTGGGCCAGATCTGTGTGAGTCTTTGAGTAAAGGATCAACAGTTCAGTGTTGCTTTCTTAATAGAGTACAGCTTTTTGTAAAGCAGATCTACAGTACAAATCAAAAGTTTGGGCACCTACTCAAAGGTTTTTCTTAATTTTTTACTATTTTCTACATTGTAGAATAATAGTGAAGACATTAAAACTATGAAATAACACATATGGAATCATGTAGTAACCAAAAAAGTGTTAAACAAATACAAATATATCTTATATTTGAGATTCTTTAAAGGAGCCACCCTTTGCCTTGATGACAGCTTTGCACACTCTTGGCATTCTCTCAACCAGTTTCATGATGTAGTCACCTGGAATGAATTTCAATTAACAGGTGTGCCTTGTTAAAAGTTCATTTGTGGAATTTATTTTCTTCTTAATGCGTTTGAGCCAATCAGTTGTGTTGTGACAAGGTAGGGGGGGTATACAGAAGATAGCCCTATTTGGTAAAAGACCAAGTCCATATTATGGCAAGAACAGCTCAAATAAGCAAAGAGAAACGACAGTCCACCGTTACTTTAAGACAGGAAGGTCAGTCAATCCGGAAATGTCAAGAACTTTGAAAGTTTCTTAAAGTGCAGTCGCAGAAACCATCAAGCGCTATGATGAAACTGGCTCTCATGAGGACCGCCACAGGAAAAGAAGACCCAGAGTTACCTCTGCTGCAGAGGAGAAGTTCATTAGAATTAACTGCACCTCAGATTGCAGCCCAAATAAATGCTTTACAGAGTTCAAGTAACAGACACATCTCAACATCAACTGTTCAGAGGAGACTGCGTAACTCAGGCCTTCATGGTAGATTTGCAGAAAATAAACCATTACTAAAGGACACCAATAAGAAGAAGAGACTTGCTTGGGCCAAGAAACCCGAGCAATGAACATTAGACCGGAGGAAATAAAATTTGAGATTTTTGGTTCCAACCGCCGTGTCTTTGTGAGACGCAGAGTAGGTGAACGGATGATCTCTGCATGTGTATTTCCCACCGTGAAGCATGGAGGAGGAGGTGTGATGGTGTGGGGGTGCTTTGCTGGTGACACTGTCAGTGAATTTAGAACTCAAGGCACACTTAACCAGCATGGCTACCACAGCATTCTGCAGCGATACGCCATCCCATCTGGTTTGCGCTTAGTGGGGCTATCATTTGTTTTTCAACAGGACAATGACACAAAACACACCTCCAGGCTGTGTAAGGGCTATTTGACCAAGGAGAGTGATGGAGTGCTGCATCAGATGACCTGGCCTCCACAATCACCTGACCTCAACCCAATTGAGATGGTTTGGAATGAGTTGGACCGCAGAGTGAAGGAAAAGCAGCCAACAAGTGCACAGCATATGTGGGAACTCCTTCAAGACTGTTGGAAAAGTATTCCTCATGAAGCTGGTTGAGAGAATGCCAAGAGTGTGCAAAGCTGTCATCAAGGCAAAGGGTGGCTACTTTGAAGAATCTAAAATCTAAAATATATTTTGATTTGTTTAACATTTTCTGGTTACTACATGATTCCATATGTGTTATTTCATAGTTTTGATGTCTTCACTATTATTCTACAATGTAGAAAATAGTAAAAATAAAGAAAAAATGAGTAGGTGTGTCCAAACGTTTGACTGGTGCTGTATGTCTGTGTGAGTACAGTCAAATAGATGACGGTTTGTAGAGCAGAATGATCAGATCTGTGTCAGTGTGTGGTGCATGATGTAGATACTACATATCTGTGTCAGTGTGTTAGTGCAGTGCACTCTGGCTCAGTAGAGCTGATGTAATATGATGTGACGTGAGGGAGTGAGCCGTGTGTATCCAGGCAGGCGCTCCACCTATCACACCTGCTGCTGTAATGGTAGTGAGCTCACACACTCTGATACACTCTGACTGCCTGACTGATAACTGACTGACGTCTGATAACTGACTGATAACTGACGACTGACTGACTGACTGACTGATGCTTGATAACTGACTGACTTACTGATGACTGACGACTGACAGATGACGGATTGATGACTGACTGACTAATAACTGATGACTGACTGACTGATGACTGACTGACTAATAACCAACTGATAACTGACTGACTGATAACTGACTGACTTACTGACTTACTGACTTACTGACTGACTGACTGACTGACTGATGACTGACTGACTGATGACTGACTGACTGATGACTAACTGTTAACTGACTGACTGACTGATGACTGACTGATGACTGACTGACTGATGACTGACTGACTGATAACTGACTGATGACTCACTGACTGATGACTGACTGACTGATGACTGACTGACTGATAACTAACTGATAACTGACTGACTGATACCTGACTGACTGACTGGTGACTGACTGACTGATGATTGATGACTGACTGACTGACTGACTGATAACTGACTGACTGATGACTGACTGATTACTGACTGACTGACAACTGACTGACTGATGACTAATGACTGACTGACAGATTGACTGACTGACTGATGACTGACTGACTGACAACTGACTGACTGATGACTAATGACTGACTGACAGACTGACTGACTGATGACTGACTGACTCCTCTAGGGCACACAGAGTACAGTGGGGAAAAAAGTATTTAGTCAGCCACCAATTGTGCAAGTTCTCCCACTTAAAAAGATGAGAGAGGCCTGTAATTTTCATCATAGGTACACGTTAACTATGACAGACAACTTGAGAAAAAAAATCCAGAAAATCACATTGTAGGATTTTTTATGAATTTATTTGCAAATTATGGTGGAAAATAAGTATTTGGTCACCTACAAACAAGCAAGATTTCTGGCTCTCACAGACCTGTAACTTCTTCTTTAAGAGGCTCCTCTGTCCTCCACTCGTTACCTGTATTAATGGCACCTGTTTGAACTTGTTATCAGTATAAAAGACACCTGTCCACAACCTCAAACAGTCACACTCCAAACTCCACTATGGCCAAGACCAAAGAGCTGTCAAAGGACACCAGAAACAAAATTGTAGACCTGCACCAGGCTGGGAAGACTGAATCTGCAATAGGTAAGCAGCTTGGTTTGAAGAAATCAACTGTGGGAGCAATTATTAGGAAATGGAAGACATACAAGACCACTGATAATCTCCCTCGATCTGGGGCTCCACGCAAGATCTCACCCCGTGGGGTCAAAATGATCACAAGAACGGTGAGCAAAAATCCCAGAACCACACGGGGGGACCTAGTGAATGACCTGCAGAGAGCTGGGATCAAAGTAACAAAGCCTACCATCAGTAACACACTACGCCGCCATGGACTCAAATCCTGCAGTGCCAGACGTGTCCCCCTGCTTAAGCCAGTACATGTCCAGGCCGTCTGAAGTTTGCTAGAGTGCATTTGGATGATCCAGAAGAGGATTGGGAGAATGTCATATGGTCAGATGAAACCAAAATATAACTTTTTGGTAAAAACTCAACTCGTCGTGTTTGGAGGACAAAGAATGCTGAGTTGCATCCAAAGAACACTATACCTACTGTGAAGCATGGGGGTGGGAACATCATGCTTTGGGGCTGTTTTTCTGCAAAGGGACCAGGACGACTGATCCGTGTAAAGGAAAGAATAAATGGGGCCATGTATCGTGAGATTTTGAGTGAAAACCTCCTTCCATCAGAAAGGGCATTGAAGATGAAACGTGGCTGGGTCTTTCAGCATGACAATGATCCTAAACACACCGCCCGGGCAACGAAGGAGTGGCTTCGTAAGAAGCATTTCAAGGTCCTGGAGTGGCCTAGCCAGTCCCCAGATCTCAACCCCATAGAAAATCTTTGGAGGGAGTTGAAAGTCCGTGTTGCCCAGCGACAGCCCCAAAACATCACTGCTCTAGAGGAGATCTGCATGGAGGAATGGGCCAAAATACCAGCAACAGTGTGTGAAAACCTTGTGAAGACTTACAGAAAACGTTTGACCTGTGTCATTGCCAACAAAGGGTATATAAAAAAGTATTGAGAAACTTTTGTTATTGACCAAATACTTATTTTCCACCATAATTTGCAAATAAATTCATAAAAAATCATACAATGTGATTTTCTGGATTTTTTTTCCTCATTTTGTCTGTCATAGTTGACGTGTACCTATGATGAAAATTACAGGCCTCTCTCATCTTTTTAAGTGGGAGAACTTGCACAATTGGTGGCTGACTAAATACTTTTTTTCCCCACTGTACAAGCCACACACAGGGGATTATACTGGAGAGTAGGAAGCTGTAATGCGTGCATTTACGCTTGCAGGTTTATTGGAAAAATACACTGTTTGTAGGTTTTTCCAATAACGCTTCATTTCAAGTAATATTGTTTATCTGTTATTTTCTTCTTCTGCTGTCAATATTTTCCTGTCTATCTCTGTTGTTACTACATCCACATGTTGTGGTTTATAGGTGTGTAATATATAAACTAATATTTCTCTCTCTTTTCTATGTTGCAGTGCTGCGTCTGCTGAAGGAGGGAGCTGACCCCAACACGCCTATCTCCTCTGGAGGTTCTCTTCTACACCTGGTAAGAACACACACACACACACACACACACACACAGGGCCGGCTCCAGGAATAAGCAACAGAAGCGTCCTCAGTTTGGGTCTCAACTTACAATTGACAGTTAGAATAGTAGAATACAACAGATGCAATTTAGAAATGTGGTTTTGCATCAGCAGTTGATGTCTTCTTATGTCACTCAATTAGCTTACAATTAGACATGTACATTTTTTGATTGGTAGTTAGTCTAGACAACTATCTAAAATGTTTGTAATCATGGCTGAAAACTGACCGGGCACGCAAGGCACATGCCTAGGGGCCTTGACCTCCAGGGGTTCCCCATTGATTTTGTTAGCAACTCTCACTCAGATATCATATTAACATGGCAAAATGTGTAGAATTGTAGGAAATTAGCTTTAAAGGGGAATAATGGCAAATTTAGAAAATGTGTCTATGTTTCTAAATCCCTCTTGACTCGTTGTTGGACTGTCTGTCAACGTGTGCACATCTCTGACTCAGGGACGTAGCTCTCGTTCTAGCTCTACCTCGCTCTACCTGAGTGAGAGAGGTTTGCACTTTGACAGACAGTCCAACAATGAGTCAGAGATGAAATGTGATGTTATTCCCTTTTAAAACTAAATGTTCTCTCCACCCCATGGCAAAATTGGTAGAATTGCAGAAAATGAACTTTCAAATGTAAAGTTTTCTCTCCGGCATCAAAAGGGGGGCCACTAAAATGTTTTGCTGCGAGGTGGAGGGCCCCCTCAACAAAATCTTGCTTAGGGCACCCAAAAGGCTAAAGCCAGCCCTGCACACACACGCACACACACACACACACACACACACACACACACAAACACACAAAAACATCCACCTGTTGTTTTTCAGTACTTAGATTTTTCCCATACTGTACACATTATGACAATTAAATGTTACAGCCAACATGGTGATATGAGTTTTTATTAAATGTACTGTATTATACATTTCATCCATGCATGCAAAGAAATATTGAATGTTCACTGGACTGTAGAACATTTAACTAACCAGGCCTCAGCAGAAATGGTACTGTAATTGAAAAACAAACAACAATTTGAATTGGCTCACCATTATCCAACCACCTCTCTCTCTCTTCCTCACTATCTCTTTCTTTCTCCCTTTCTCTCTCTCTTCATCTGTCTCTCTCTCTCTCTCGCTATCCTATAGTGTGCTCGCCATGACAACGTGTTTGCTGCAGAGGTTTTGATTGAGCGAGGGCTAAACGTTAACCTGCAGGATGAGGACCTCTGGACAGCCCTGCACGTAGCATGTGTGTGTGACCACGCCGACATGGTGCTGCTGCTATTGCTGGTGAGAAACATGCACACACACACACACACACACACACCATCAACACACACACACACACCATCAACACACACACACACACACACACACACACACACACACACACCATCAACACACACACACACGCCTGATGTGAGACACCCGTTGGATGTGAATGTCTACATTTAGCATCACAACATCAAAACAATATTTTCCTATGGGGGTCAGTCCAGAGGGGTTTGGGTCGGGTCTGGTGTTCTGCAGTATTAGACTGTAAAAAGGGTTTGGGCCAGGTCTGGTGTTCTGCAGTATTAGACTGTAAAAGGGGTTTGGGCCAGGTCTGGTGTTCTGCAGTATTAGGACTATCAGAGAGGTTTGGGCCAGGTCTGGTGTTCTGCAGTATTAGACAATCAGAGGGGTTTGGGTCAGGTCTGGTGTTCTGCAGTATTAGACAATCAGAGGGGTTTGGGTCAGGTCTGGTGTTCTACAGTATTAGGTCTATCAGAGAGGTTTGGGTCAGGTCTGGTGTTCTGCAGTATTAGGACAATCAGAGAGGTTTGGGTCAGGTCTGGTGTTCTACAGTATTAGGACAATCAGAGAGGTTTGGGTCAGGTCTGGTGTTCTGCAGTATTAGGACTATCAGATAGGTTGGGTCAGGTCTGGTGTTCTGCAGTTTAGGACATCAGAGGGGTTGGTCAGGTCTGTGTTCTCAGTATTAAGGATCTATCAGAGGTTGGGTCAGGCCACTGGTGTACTACATATATCTATCAAGGTTGGGTCAAGTCGGATACAACAGTAATAGACACAACACAGGTTGAGTGAGAGTTGGATGTTAATATGTCTACATTTAGCGTCACATCAACATATTTCCAGGGGTCATCCAGAGGGTTTGGGTCGGTCTGGTGTTCTGCAGTATTAGACTATAAAAGGGTTTGGGCCAGGTCTGGTGTTCTGCAGTATTAGACGTAAAGGGGTTTGGGCAGGTCTGGTGTTCTGCAGTATTAGGACATCAGAGAGGTTTGGGCAGGTCTGGTGTTCTGCAGTATTAGACATCAGGGGGTTTGGGTCAGGTCTGGTGTTCTACGTATTAGGTCATCAGAGAGGTTTGGGTAGGTCTGGTGTTCTACAGTATTAGGACTATCAGAGAGGTTTGGGTCAGGTCTGGTGTTCTGCAGTAATTAGGACAATCAGAGAGGTTTGGGGTCAGGTCTGGTGTTTCTACAGTATTGGACAATCAGAGAGGGTTTGGGTCAGGTCTGGTGTTCTGCAGTATAGGACTATCAGAGGGGTTTGGGTCAGGTCTGGTGTTCTACAGTATTAGGACAATCAGAGGGGTTTGGTCAGGTCTGGTGTTCTGCAAGTAATTAGGCTATCAGAGGGGTTTGGGTCAGGTCTGGTGTCTAGCAGTATTAGGTCTATCAGAAGGGTTTGGGTCAGGTCTGGTGTTCTGCAGTATTAGGACTATCAGAGGGGTTTGGGTCAGGTCTGGTGTTCTGCAGTATTAGGACTATCAGAGGGGTTTGGGTCAGGTCTGGTGTTCTACAGTATTAGGTCTATCAGAGGGGTTTGGGTCAGGTCTGGTGTTCTGCAGTATTAGGTCTATCAGAGGGGTTTGGGTCAGGTCTGGTGTTCTGCAGTATTAGACTATCAGAGAGGTTTGGGTCAGGTCTGGTGTTCTGCAGTATTAGGTCTATCAGAGGGGTTTGGGTCAGGTCTGGTGTTCTGCAGTATTAGACTATCAGAGAGGTTTTGGTCAGGTCTGGTGTTCTGCAGTATTAGGTATATCAGAGAGGTTTGGGTCAGGTCTGGTGTTCTGCAGTATTAGGTCTATCAGAGAGGTTTGGGTCAGGTCTGGTGTTCTGCAGTATCCAGGCTCTGTCGTTGCCGGCCGCGACACGGAACAAGATCCCACAATACACTGTGCCAAACAGGCTGCCTAAGTATGGTTCCCAATCAGAGACAACAAGCAACAGCTGATTCTCGTTGCCTCTGATTGAGAACCACCCCGGCCAACATAGATACACATGAACTAGATCCTAACATAGAAACACAAACACATAGAATCTACACACCCTGGCTCAACATATAAGAGTCCCAGAGCCAGGGTGTGACAGGCAGGGATGTAGCTCAGTTGGTAGAGCATGGCGTTTGCAACGCCAGGGTTGTGGGTTCGATTCCCACGGGGGGCCAGTATGAAAAATAATGTATGCACTCACTAACTGTAAGTCGCTCTGGATAAGAGCGTCTGCTAAATGACTAAAATGTAAATGTAAATAGGTCCCTACCCCATTGAAGCATATTTTTTTTTAAAGGCCAAATCACCTTTAAGTAACATCAAACCAAATATGGAGTTGATTTCAGGTTATTTGGACATTATATTTTTAAACATGTTCACATGCCCCCATCGCTTCCATAGATTTTTAGCTAGCGGTTGCTAAAGTTAGCTGAAGTTTGTAATGGCTGTTTACAGAAAACTGAAACATGAATTACAGTTTCTCCTGGCCAATTGACTACTTTCAGTGTGAGGAACCATCTAACATTGTAAAATAGTGAACTACTCCTTTAAGGTAAGGGTTAGGGTTAGGTAAGGGTTATGGTTAAGGTTAGGGTAGGGGTTAAGGTTAGAGTTAGGGTTTAGTGTAGGGACATTTCCAAGGATCTCGGATAGCACTGACCATGGCTGTATCCGCTGGGATGGAGGGGGCTTGGTGATTGGGGAGGAGGGGGGTAGCATTATTGTCTCCCCCCTCTCTATGTTTGATGGCGCTAATGCTAAATATCTCCACATTGCAAACAGCTTCCCAATATCCCATGCACTCCCAATACCCTCCATCATATTCCCAACCCCGTTTCCAGCCCCATTCCAAACCCCCATTCCCAGCTCAGAGCACTGCTCTGTCTCCCAACATCTTTCTGGCAGGATTTAGCCTCTCTGTGTGACTGGTAATTCCTCTGCCAGAGGAGTGGAGGGGATTTTAGCCATTGGGAAATGTTCCGTTTGGTTATTAAAATATGATAGGAGCCTATAGGCAACAGCAGAGTAGTGTTGCTGCATGCTAAACCTATCTGGCCTTATATTAAATGTATGAGTCGGTTTAAATTGATTATAACGAGGGAGTTGTAGTGAGTTATTTCTTTCAATATATTGGTCATTAATTTACAGCTCCTTCATGTTGATTCCCCATGAGAGTAATGATCATTTATGATCAAATAGCCCGCAACCACAATAGCAACTATGAAGAAACAACATGATTGCTACTCTAGATGTAGGCCTAGACTGTAGAAACCATCTCAGTCTATGGCGTCACTATAGTTCCCTATTCAGAGCCTAGACTCCATCGTGGCATCGCTGGTCCGTTATCATATCTGATTTAATTTCATTGTGCCAATTAGTTTCTCCTGATTTGCATGGCTAACAAGGCCCATGCAGGCAGTGAGGAGATAAGCGATTGTCGATTAGCGGCTAATTGGCAGGTTGTCCTCATTCTGTTGTAACGTCTCCCAGCCTATAAACTAGGCACCAAACGGAAAAACACGGGACGAAACAAGGAGTTACTAATTGAACTTGTTCAATAAGAAACGCTTGTTTTAGTTTTAAATAATAATAATATAATATGCCATTTAGCAGACTTTCCATTGCACAACGTTTTGAATTGTTTCAGTTGCGTGCCCTAGCGATCCCTACCATGATCTCAGTTCTCTCTGTTATGCTTTTAAATCAGTGTATTGTTGGAGGTTGCGTCCTGAAAAGTTGGAAGGCAGGGCCTGTCTCTGTCTTGTCTGTCTGGAGTGCTCCTCTGATGTGTCACGCTGAGTTGTTAACCAACCTCGCTAACACACTTGTTCTGAAAGTTTTGAGTGAACCTTGAAGTTTGTGCTTACTGTTGTGTAATTCCAGACTGTCTGGTGCTGGGTTTTGATAGTACGGCTTACAGAAATCATCTTAATATTACTGGCTTCCTTAACTCCTCATGGCTTAAGATGGGAGATTGTGATTAAGTGGTTCTCCTGAGAACTGCTATTGTTATGAAACTTCCTTTTAGATTGGTTTAGAGTCTTATAATTCCCTGTTAAACTACAATAGAAGACTGACCCACTTTTGGCACTTGGAACTTATCAGCCCCAATACTTTTGTCTTTAAATACCTAAGTACATGACCCTTGTCTGAACTCTGGTAAAATAGTGGAACCTACAGTATTTTCTTCTGTCTTGGATTTGACTTCTTCCCTAAAAACTATGATTTCATTTGGCGTAGCGTAGGTGAACATTAGTTCATATAGGTGGTGATGGTGGATCACTCCTAGAGTATGTAGCGAGTCCATTCTAAGCTCATTAAACTAGCTTTAGGGACATGTAAGTGTTTAAGTTCCTCTCCAGGGGGCTACTTTCTCTACAGCCATCCCAGGGACGTCACTAGTTACCACAGCCACAAAGTCATAAACACTGCCTATTTTTTAAATCTAACCCTATCCTTAACCCTAACCACACTTATAACTGTAATGTAAATTAAGACCAAAAAGCAAATGTGTGTTTTCATGAATTTTTACAACATAGCCAATTTTGACTTTGTGGCAGTGCTATCTAGTGGAAACCCCATCCCAGGGGACAATCCCACCAAGTCCTCTTTGTTGTTGTTGGTATGGATCCTACTGAGGTTGCCATAGTAATGCCTATTATGACACGGGCATGTTGCGGCGTTAACGGATTCCTGTCGCCAGGTCAACGAACACTGATCCATCATAATGCGGCGGTGAGTGTGGAGCGTGTCAAGGTCAGAGGTCAGTTTGTTAACCCCTCACTGCACGCTTGGCACCCGGGAGACAATAGGATGCCGTTCGTTTCTACGTCTCAGCGGTTATTATCTGCAGTCAGACAGATGATGCTCTGTCTCAATTGATGGGATGGCAGACATCATAGGCTCCCTGTACCGAGATATAAATTAGTAGTCATATCATATAAAATCATTTATTTTAATACATTGTATCTAACATTGTTGCTATTACAAACAAGGATTACATTAGGATTAAGTTGAGGTGGTCAAACTCATACTACTCTTTGTATTACTTTATACTGCCACATTCGACTGGCAGCTGGTGCTGTATTTTCACATCTGTAGATGGTGTAGTTGTCTTTCACTGCATGATTGACTGCCAAGATGTCAGCTAGGTAAGAAATATGATGAATAACACATGCATACATCATTAACTATACTGTAACCCCAGAGGCCCCAGTTGATATCCTCAGGAGAACCAGTCCAGTAGGTAGAGTAGTGAGTACCCCACAAACCAAGAACATTCCCAGAACATTAGCTAAGATTCCCATTAAGTTCTAGTTAGCTAGATATCACCTGGTGGTGCAGAGGGTTAATGATCGGGCTGCAGAGCTAAAGATTGCAGGTTCAAGCCCACATATTCTTTAACCATGTTTCTTTAGGAAAAAATTGTGAAATTGAAATAAATTGGTTCTGTCTCCTACTGGTCATTACCAAGCCTTCTAACAGAGGTGTCAGGACAATTGTACCTATATTTAACCGCCACCAAGGTAAAATATATATAGCGAGAACATCAGTTACATTTTAGTCATTTAGCAGACGCTCTTATCCAGAGCGACTTACAGTTACTAAGTGCATACATTATTATATATATATTTTTTTTCATACTGCCCCCCCGTGGGAATCGAACCCACAACCCTGGCGTTGCAAACACCATGCTCTACCAACTGAGCTACATCCCTGGAACATCAATGGAATATTATGTTAAACCTAAAACAAATATGCTATGAACATCATAAAAACGGACATTAAGGGAATGACCTGTGCAACCTAACTTAAAACATTGAATGTCATCACAACTGAGCATATTTTGTGTTTTGGGAACCTAACTCTTGTAATGTATCCACACTGTTCCCACAACCTAATGAAATGTTCTGGGAACCTTTAAAGAACTCAGAAAGGTTGTTCTGTGAACATTCTTGCAACATCAAAGGACGTTTTGTGCACCCTGATACAAACATTATCTGAATGTCAGCACAACTTGTCACAACTTGTCACATTTTTACAACATTATATAATCATCCTCGCGACTGGACAGTTTTTGTGTTATGAGAACATTTGCGGCAACCTAACGGATGTTCTGGGAACTTTCACATAACTAATTTTGGCTTGCTGGGTACCCTACTGTAGTAGTCTGGCTGTAGTCACAGCAGGCTGTGTCAGCTGATGTCTTCATTAGGACATTCCCCAATTGACCATGGAGCTCAGAATGACAGGTCAGGGACACCACCTCTCTCCTATTTACTCTACATGCATGCATGCACACACGAGCACGCACACACACACACACACACACACACACACACACACACACACACACACACACACACACACACACACACACACACACACACACACACACACACAAATGCAGACTGTTCCTCACCATGCTCTGGTTTTCTGAAACCAACCCTCACCTGCAGAAAGGCTGTATGATTGGCACATTTGGGCTGGATGAAAAAAAAAGAATGAAAACAGACAGCTAGGCATGCTCTCTCTTTCTCTCTGTCTTTCTTTCTCTTTCTCTCTGTCTCTCTCTTCTTCTCTTTCAATCTCTCTCTCTACCTCTCTCTCTCTCTTCCTCGTTGTCTCTGTGCCTCTCTCTTTTTATCTCTCTCTGCTCTCCGTCTCAAAGCAATAAGCTCTTCCTCATGAATATACACAAAGCACCAACTGATGTTGAATGTTAATTGTAACATTCATTAACCCCTAACTAACCCTGCTAATGAGTAACAACAGCTCCTGCTAGACCAGACCATAGAGATGGGTAGGCACTTTACCCAAAGAAACAAAGGGGCAAATTCCAAATGCAGACCTCACCACTATATTTAATATTGGTACATTACAAATACATCAGATTAACTTAATGAATTGTGTTTTAATTTGCTTGCCATTGATGGGTAGATACATTATATCTGATGTTTCCCTAGTGTTTTGAGATTTGTTTTGATGAATTGCAGGTTGTTTAAGTTCCAGGTGTTTGTGGTTTGCATTTAAGGGTCCAGGGCTCTGAGATATAAGGGTTTGGACTGCAGGGGGTTTGGGGTTCAGCATTTGCAGTCACTCTCTAGCCTATGTCCTTTGGCTAGGCATTCCTCTTCCTCCATTCTTTATATTAGGTCTTACAATCTTACAACGCTCTGTATTTACAAGCGACCCAACGCGCACTCTGACACACTGGCCGCAATTTATGAAAGCACCCTTAGCTAGTTGTCAATCAAATGCATTTGCCGTTGATCAAATGGGCAGGCAGGCAGGCAAATTCCCATTCAGTTGTCAAAACGTGGGTTGGGACAAGCATGCATTGGCAGGCAAACTGCAGAAGGACGAGCAGGCTACTAATCCCCATCGTTTATCAGTGCAATTTTGACGGCCAACTAGCTAAACAAGTTTGAGAGGGTTTATCTAATGATCCCTTGTTAGCTTTTAGCTCAGCTTGCTCTGGCTAGCATTAGTTGTTGATCTTGTTGTTGTTGATGTGCATAACTGAGGGAGAGAGAGCCTACCTTTTCATTGTTGTTTGATCAATAGGACTGTAAAGTTCCCAAATGATAGAGGACTCCCGTGGTATTTACATATTTGCAGAAATCCAATCAGGTGTATTGTGTGGCTTTTGGCGAATGCTTTCTAATCAGGTGTATTGTGTGGCTTTTGGCGAATGCTTTCTAATCAGGTGTATTGTGTGGCTTTTGGCGAATGCTTTCTAATGATCGACTGCCTGTAAACACATAGCTAGTCCAGTTCAAAGTGAATGATGGCAGGCCCGTGTGGCAAATGACTTATTTGCGTCAAGGCCTACTATAGCTCTGATTGGCTGTGGTGCACCGATCTGCATTGACTCCTGTCCTGGACAAGACAGATGTTTTTATTAGGTGTATTTTAGTTGTCCAACGCACAGCCACTTACCCACTCAATATTGCTATAGAATTTTCACAAATGCCTTTGTCTATATCTCATTCCCAAACATTCTAAGAATTTATGAAAATGTGAAAATGACCATATCTAAGTGCTTGCTTGTCAGAAAATGTAAAAAATAAAAAATAAACAAGTGTCATATTCTTCCAGGGACTGTATATGAACAGATTTTAATAAGATTTCATGTTGCTAAAATGCTGTCAGTTCCACTTTCAGTAAGTTAAAGAGAGGGAAAGAGGGGAAATAGATCGAGAAAAAGAGGGAAAGAGAGAGAGAGACGAAAAAGGCAGAGTTGTGCACATACACGTCCCTGCCCTTGGGCCCCCACAGTCCCATATTTAAAGGGTTGTTTAATTCACTCTATTGAGTGTTAATGTCCCTGTGGTTCTCCTCAGGTACACACTGCTGGGAGGGCCTGATAATTGGGCGTACTTTATCATCGATCCCCCTCTGATGAATGACCTGAGAAACCACTCCATTTATTTGTGTTTCTCTCCCTCCCTCCTCTTCTCGTTCTATGGTGGGTTCCGAACATTCCGTGTGTTCTGGAAGGCTGGGGTGAACGTTTCTACTCCAGGATGTGAACGGGAACATTCCACTGGACTACACCATCGAGGGAACCGAGACCAGCTACATCCTCCGAAAACACCTAGAGGAAAATGGTAACACAACACTCCTCACAGGATTTACTTTTGTGTTGTGTTGTGTTGTTGTGTTGTGTTGTAGCCCTATTGTCGATTTTGCATAAATGTTCATATAAATCAAATCAAATCAAATTTAATTGGTCACATACACATATTTAGCAGATGTTATTGTGGGTGTAGCGAAATGCTTGTATTCCTAGCTCCAACAGTGCAGTAGTATCTAACAATTCACAACAAGACACAGAAATCTAAAAGTAAAAGTATGGATTAAAGAAATATATAAATATTAGGACGAACAATGTCTGAGTGGCATTGACTAAAATACAGTAGAATACATGATATACATATGAAATTAGTTAAACAGTATGTGAACATTATTAAAGTCACTAGTGTTCCATTTAAAGTAACCAGTGATTCCATGCCTATGTACATACAGTGCATTTGGAAAGTATTCAGACCCCTTGACTTTTTCCACATTTTGTTACGTTACAGCCTTATTCTAAAATTGATGAAAATTGTTTTTTTTTCCTCATCAATCTACACACAATACTCGATAATGACAAAGCAAAAAACGTTTTTTACTTGATGATTGAGTTAGAGGCGTGCGTGGCCATGCAGTCATGGGTGAACAGGGAGTACAGGAGGGGGCTGAGCACGCACCCTTGTGGGGCCCCTGTGTTGAGGATCAGCGTAGTGGTGGTGTTGTTTCCTACCTTCACCACCTGGGGGCGACCCTTCAGGAAGTCCAGGACCCAGGGCCTCGAGCTTAATGATGAGCTTGGAGGGTGCTATGGTGTTGAAGGCTGAGCTATAGTCAATGAACAGCATTCTTACATAGGTATTCATCTTGTCCAGATGGGATAGGGCAGTGTGCAGTGCGATGGTGATTGCATAATCTGTGGCGCTATTGGGGCGGTATGCAAATTTAAGTGGGTCTAGGGTGTCAGGTAAGGTGGAGATGATATGATCCTTAACTAGCCTCTCAAAGCACTTCATGATGACAGAAGTGAGTGTTACGGGGCGATAGTCATTTAGTTCAGTTACCTTTGGTTTCTTGGGTACAGGAACTATGGTGGACATCTTGAAGCAAGTGGGGACAGCAGACTGAGATAGGGAGAGTAAACACTCCAGCCAGCTGGTCTGCGCATGCTCTGAGGACACGGCTAGGGATACCGTCTTGGTCGACAGTCTTGCGAGGGTTAACATGCTTAAATGTGTTACTCACGTCGGCCACGGAGAACGAGAGCCCACAGTCCTTGGGAGCGGACCACCATCTTTCCTCCAGTGAATAGTATTTTTTTCTATCTTTGCCAAGTTTCCACCCACACACAATGACTCTGGTTGAGGACCTATTATTTCGGCAGTGTGACATTTTGTTCTAGTCCATATAACGTCTCTGTGTGTTAATTTACTGCCTGCTGTAGTGCTCATTTGCATCTTATGGCGGCAGTTAAAGAAAGAGACTAAAGTGGGAAAATTACTGAAAGAGATAATGTCTTAATTTGAAAATGAGACATTCAACAGATCATAAGTCATGTCCACACACAATTATAACACAAGATGAGGAGACAGACTGAATGAGAAGGAATGTTCCCACGGATGGTTGGCTGACGTATTGACAGAGGAAAAGGTCTCTATACTGTGTGTGGGTTTTTGTGTGTGTGTTTGTGTGTGTGTGGGTCCAATCCAGCCCTATCCAGCCCAGGCCTATCTAGCCCTATCCAGCCCTATCCAGCCCAGCCCAACTTAGTCCAGCCCAGCCAAGGCGAGCCCAGTCCAACCTAGCCCAGCCATATCCAGCCCTATCCAGCGTAGTCTAGCCCAGTCAATCCAATCCAAACCAGCCCGGCTAATACCAGCACACTGTGTCCATATCTAACTATAGCTCAACTCAACTCAGACTGATGGTTATGGTCCAGCTCCCTGGCAGGGTATTGGAGGCCCTAACCTGCTAATGTATTAGCAGCAGTAATAGATAGCACTGTTGGTCCTTTACAGACACCATCCATCTGCCTCAGAGTAAAAGCCACTTAGCCCCTCCATCAATACAGAGCACGGATAGATGGATGGATGGAGAGAGGGAGAGGGGGATGACAGCCTGACGGAGGGTGGACCATATACCATCCTCACCTCTCCCTCCATCCCCAGGGTAGCATCAGGCGTATGGTGATTTATCATTACAGTGTGGGGGAGAGTTCCAGCCAGGTCACTCGAGATAAAAGTCAGTATACGACATCCGTCCATGTCCTCAGACATCAGGAGATGACGTGGAAACCGGACGCTAGGGGCAACAGTGAACGCTGTTAGCTTCAAGTAGGTTTTGGTTTTGCTATGGGTGGTGATGGTGGATGGGCGTAAGCATCTGCCTCTGATTCTAAAGGTTGCAAGTTTGAATCCAGCGATGGAAAATTGTTTTTGCATGTTTGTTTTTTTCAAGCCTATCCCAAACCTTAACCCTAACCTTAAACATTTGGAGTTCATGCCTAAACTTAACCTTAAACACTTCGAAATTCAATGCTTGCAACAACTTCGAAATGTAATGTTTGAGAAACATGGATAAGCGTCTAATTCTGACGTGAGACTGTGAGAGCTAGCTGGAGAGTTCCTCCTATACCCCCACTCTCCCTCTCTCACTCCCCTCTCCTCTCTTCCCTCTCCTCCACTCCCTCTCTCCCTCTTCCCCCTCCCTCTTTCCACTCTCCTCTCCTCTCTCACTCTCCCTCTTTCACTTCCTCTCTCCCTCTCTCCTCTCCTCCACTCTCCTCCTCTCTCCACTCCCCCCCTCCCTCCCTCCCTCTCCTCTCTCCTCCTCCACTCTCCCTCTCTCACTCTCCCTCTCTCCTCTCTTCCTCTCCACTCCCTCTCTCCTTGTCCCCCCTCTCTCCACTCTCCTCTGCTCCACTCTCCCTCTCCTCCTCTCTCTCCTTCTCCCTCTTCCATCTCCCTCTCCCTCTCCACTCCCCCTCTCTCCCCTCCTCTCTCCACTCTCCCTCTCACTCTCCACTCCTCCTCTCTCCGCCTCTCACTTCTCCCTCTCCTCTCTCCCTCTTTCCACTCTCCCTCTCTCCACTCTCCTCCTCCTTCCTCTCTCCCTCTCCACTCTCACTCTCTCCCCTCTCTCCTCCTCCTCTCTCCCTCTCTCCTTCTCTCCCCTCTCCCTCCTCTCACTCTCCATCTCCTCTCTTCCCTCTCCCTCTCCCTCTCCCTCCACTCCCTCTCCCCCCTCCCCTCCCTCTCCATCCCTCTCCTCTCTCTCCTCTCTCACTCTCTTCCCTCTTCCCCTCCACTCTCCCTCTCTCACTCTCTCCTCCTCCCCCCTCCTCTCCACTCTCCTCTCTCCTCTCTCCCTCTCCCTCTCTCCACTCCTCCACTCTCTCCCCTCTCCCTCTCCATCCCTCCCTCTCCTCTACTTCCTCTCTCCACTCCTCTCTCTCCACTCCCTCCCTCTCCCTCCTCCTCTCCTCTCTCACTCTCCTCTCTCCACTCTCCCTCTCTCCTCCCTCTCCACTCGTCCTCTCAAATCTTCCCTCTCTCCTCTACCCCCACTCTCCCTCCTCCACTCTCCCCTCTCCCTCTACCCTATCTCCAACCTCTACCCTCTACCCCCACTCTCCCTTCTCCACTCTTCCTCTCCTCCACTCCGTCCCTCTCTCCCTCTACCCCCACTCTCCCTCTCTCCTCTCTTCCTCTCTCCACCCTTACTCTCCGTCCACCCCATCTCCCTCCTACTCCACTCTCCCTCTCTCCACTCTTCCTCTCTCCACTCTCCCGCTCTCCCTCAGTCCCACCCTCAGTCCCACCCACAGTCCCACCCTCAGTCCCACCACACATCCTCATGTCCGACAATGTGCAACTGAATAGAAACAACAGTCAGCTGTCATCTGTTCTAACTTTTTTTATGCACTCGTCATCTTGTGAAGATACTGTTGATAACTTTCTTTTGCAGACCCCACAGTACAAACGTGACATGAGCTTACAGTACGCTCTGATATTCATGTATCTGTCTTTTCAGTTAACGTCCTCTGCCTTGTGTTTCTGACCCACTTTACATTTCCCAAAGAGCTACGGTCATCACTCCTCCTGTGAGGCATGTTGTGTGTGTGTGTGTGGGCCGGTGTGTGTGTGTGTGTATGTGGGGGCCGGTGTGTGTGTGTGTGTGTGTTGGGGCCGGTGTGTGTGTGTGTGTGTGTGTGTGGGCCTGGTGTGTGCGAAGGTGAAGTTCTCCCTCAGGCTGACTGATAGTAGAATACCTCACTCCAGCAGGGAATGGAGAAGGTCAACAGAGATGGAGAGAGAACGAGATGAGACAGAAAATGACAAAGAGAAAAGAGGAGAGATGACAGTACAGATGGAGTAGAGACTGAAATACAGACACATGGAAGGGAGGGAGAGAGAGATGACAGTACAGATGGAGTAGAGACTGAAATACAGACACATGGAAGGGAGGGAGAGAGAGATGACAGTACAGATGGAGTAGAGACTGAAATACAGACAAAGGGGAGGGAGGGAGAGGGAGAGAGGAAGAGAATGACAGAAAGATCCCCCTAGCTCAGGACTGCCCAACCCTGTTCCTGAAGAGCTACCCTTCTGTAGGTTTTCGCTACAACCCCAGGTGTTATTAACCTGGTTCATCTTATTAACCTGCTAATTATTAGAATCAGGTGTGCTAGATTAGGGTTGGAGCAAAAACCTACAGGACGGTAGGTCTCCAGGAACAGGGTTGGGCAGTCCTGCCCTAGCTCATCCGTCTTTAGTCACATGGGACCTCAGAAGTCACCTCAGATATCACTCTACAACACACACACCTGCATCTCAGCCCCACCTGCCTGTGACCTGTGACATGTGACCTGTGTGGAGTGTCCCTTGCTCCCCCATGCCATCACGGCCCCTCCCCTCATCCCAAACCCCCTATAGCTGCTATCTATCCCCTTATGCCCACATCCGGCCTCTCTCTCCACTTCCTACTGTGGCACACTACCATGCCACACTCTGGAAGTCTCTGTTGCCCTAGTAACATGGCTACATTATGTAGTACCCTCCTCAAGTCTCTCATGCAGTCTCATGGACAGGCCACATACCCTATGGCCTATCCCTGTCCATTCCTATATGCACTCCACCAATTAGAATTGAGCATGCCAGCATAAGACTCCACAGAGTAGAGTGGGTGGGTGGTGTAAAGACTGATGGGCTATACTTCACCTAGTCACCCCTGAGGTCTGTGGTCATTGACCAGAGTCGATCAGTTGATCGATTCATAATTGATGGTGCTGTTTTCTAGTGTTCAGTGAAATAACAGAAAACATTCCTTGAGATTTTCATGGATCCAAGCCGGAAGCTACTATGGTTACCGCGGAAAACCAATGAATCCATGGCGAGAAGTTCCATGGTTACCATGGGTTACCCCCTCTGTGGTGCATTGCTTATTAGAGAGAAACACAGACCAATATATAATCAATAGCTATCGCTACGGCAACAAAAACACAAAAATAATATTGATGATGTCTCTGTAGTCTGTACAATCAAACATGTATTGAGCGAAATAGTAC